CATGCAGCATGTCAGTGGCGGGGAGCACAAGGGCAGGCGTTGACCTCCAACAAAAAGAATAAGTAATTTTATTGGAATTCGGAGCCCTAAGGCTGCGGTCTACTGGGGTTCGGCGTCTGTGTCAAGGTGTCGCATTTTTGGCGGCGGACAACCAGGACCCAAAGTGGGTTCTTAGGGGGCAAAATAATTTGGGGAACCGGTCCTTGCCAAAATTGCGAACTACCTCCAACTAGCTCTGGTAGAACCGAGACTTTTGACAAAAGGAAGGACCGGTCCTCGGGTGGAAGTGGACCCCAAAAAGAAGTGGGGGTGGGGTAAGGGCCCTCAGGCCTAGGCGTTGAGGCCCGTCTTCTCAAAATAGGGACGTTAGGTGCAACGAAACAGACGTTTTGCAAGAGGCACCTTTGGCGATTTTCTGTGCTCGGAGGAACCCGCAGAAAAATATGAAATTTTGAGAATCCATATATGAGGTCGTTTTCTTTTTAGGAAAAATATTAGAACATTAAAAAAAAATAATTTAGACCGTGAAATAATTGTCGCGCCGATTCGGCACATTTTCCATTTTTGCCACTCAGCCATGTGTGGGCCAACTTAAAAAGTACTCCAAATTCAGTGAGTTTTCACTCTCAGAAGAATGCATGAAAAAACCTGAAAATTGGCGTACTCGTAGATTTGGTTGTGATCTTTACAGGAAAAACGCTAAATAAATTAAAAAAAATAATTCCAACTGCGAAATAGATCACGGCCGCAATTTGACCCATATTCCAATTTTGCCATTCAGCCTCTCTCTCTCTCTCTCTCTCTCTCTCTCTCTCTCTCTCTCACTTTCAGGTAGGCCCCCCCTCCCTCTCTCGCTGTTTCTCTTTCTTTCTCTCACCCCCTGTCTCTCTCTCACACTCGGAACAATAAATGGAACAAAACTCTCTCTCTCTCTCTCTCTCTCTCTCTCTCTCTCTCTCTCTCTCTCTCTCTCTCTCTTGTGCAAGCTCTTAGTCTCATTGATTTGGCTACCTTAGGGCTGCGTTCTCCGCGCCCACGCGGTAGACAATACAAAAGCTTTTCCTTTTCGAAATCCGAGTAGAAAAGGTACAGGTTGTATTCGAATACAACGGGTGCGTTTTCTATTCGAGGAACTCTGCTATTCGAGAAAAGTGAACCTGCACCGTTTCAATTTCGAAAAAGGACTGCGGCCTCCTCAGCCTCCTATGTGCAGCTAACGGTCCTACGCGGTCCTGGACCAAAACCCGTGCGGTTCTCAGGGGCATAAACCGCACCCCTGACGGGCTGCGAACATCCACCCACATCTACCCACATCTCTTAGGGGTATTTTAGCATATATGTGAAATCCACCCACATCTCTCAGGGGTATTTTAGCATATATGTGAACTTTCAGCCCCTCCCTAGCGTCGTACTTGCCCAGTCCACGGTAGCCAGCTATGAAGAGCCGGAGCAGGTAGGGTCGGAGTCTGTCGGCCGAGCTTGAGGCGGTGATCAGCCTAAGCGGCGGGAGATTTCGATGACAAAACTGGCGGGAACACACGAGGCCCATTGGCGCCCCTGGATCTGTTCGCTGGGGCGCCCGCGGATCGCAATCCCCCCGTGTCTTCGGCGGGCTGCTGCAGAAAACCACACACGCATCCGTCGTCCGCCGGCTGCACACGTGGTCCGCCCCCCCAACTACTCGGCCGCACATGCGGGAGCCTGCCAGTCGCTTTTGACGGGTTCGTTTTGGCGCGAAGATCAGCGTGCCATCGCCTTGACATAATCTTTTTGGCGCGCGGGTTAGGCGGGGTGGTGTGAGACAGAAGCAGCAGGCCTCGACCAGGACAGCTATGGCGGACGACGAGTACCGCTCTCGCATGCTGAAGGAGATCGAGATTGCTCTTGGCACTCCCTTGGGCCATACTTCTCTTGCACCCAAACAGAAACCCATTATGTTGGTCATCAGCGGGGCAAGCGGGGTTGGCAAGGATGCCGTAATCGAGGTAATTACTCAGACTCAGCTGGGCAGTCACGCTCATCAATCACGGAGTTCAAAATTTTATTATCTCCGAAAGCCATTCATTCGTGTTGTCGTTCTTGTTCGTTTGGAAAATTTTGTCGTAGTTCTTTTCAAGAACTTAAACTAACGGATCGGAACAATTTGTCAGATTATTCTTACGTACTGTATGTCCTCTTCTCCCTCTCTGCCTCCAGTTTACCGGGCATTTCTGTTTGACGATTTATATATATTGTCACATACGGATGTTCACAGCCCCTCGTTTGTTGTCCTCTTCTCCCTCTCTGCCTACGGTTTACCTGGCAGCCGTGCAGTTCTATTTGTGACGATATATATATATCTGTTTGACGATATATATAAAACTCCGACGAAACAGTTTGTCACAGCCCCTCGTTTGTTTGTTGTCCTCTTCTCCCTCTTTGCCTACAGTTTACCGGGCAGCTCTGTTTGAGGATAAATATCGTCGAACAGGGGCTAGGTCCCACTGGCACGAATTAAGAGATAGAGACCGTAGATAGCCGAGACAGATCAACGGCCGAAATCTCGTAATCCGTGCAAGTGGGACCTTGCCCCAGAACTGCCCAGTCACCTGTAGGCAGCGAGAGAGAAGAGTACAGCAAACAGGGGGCTGTGAAAGATTGTTTCATCGGAGTTCCACCGACTCATCGGGATACTATGACTTTTTAGACTTTTTTTTTTTTTTTTTTTTTAGATTTTGGACCATATCTCAATTTATGCGTGTCAGGGGCAATGCCTTCCTTCTCTGTATCGTCCATTTTTTTTTTCCTTTTCCTTTTCCTTACATTTTAGGTCCCGAAGGACTTTTCAAAATATTTTTCCGTGCATCGTCTACGCTCCTTTGCAGTCCAAAGGTGAATCCGAAAAAAAAAAAAAAAGGGCAAATCCGATGCTCTTTGTCAGCGGGACATCGTCCCATGACAGAGTTTGTCCGTGAATCACGGAGATCGACGGCCAATATCTCTTGATCTATTCAAGTGTGATCTCAACCCTAATTCTCGCAGTGTTGCTTCATGGGGACAGCCTCTTCTTCCACTGCCCCCCCCTCCTCTTCCTCCTTTTCCACCTCCTCTTCCTCCCTCTCCTCCTCCTCTGTCCTTTCTCCCTCTCTAAACATGTTTTATAACATAGCACATATATTATTATATCATACAGCGAAACCTAAAAGCACCTTTGCGATGCAATAGTGACGGGGAAAAAGAAGGTAGAGAATTGCGCGTCCCAAGTTCATCGAAGTTCAGCAGGAACATGAACGATGTACACTGCGTTCTCGTTCGTCGACATTGTCTTTAGAGGCATGTGTGTGGCCAATTCTTTTTCCTCTACCCCCGGCTTCCGTACGATGCTCTGGTTTTCGTTTTTCGTTTTTTCCCCCTCTTGTTTACTGAGTGTAAGATAAGGAAAAGATTCACTGTTTTGTGTGGTTGAGCTTGAAGAGCTCGCATGCTGTCCATCTGCTTTCTGAAAGTACACATGGGGCGATATCCTTGTCACCTGGACTCGTGGATTCTCGCCGTTGATCTCTTCGTCATCGACAGTCGGTGATGAAAGATCTGGGTGAGTGGGATGTGAGCCTGCACTGTGGTAATAAGAATGAGACAAGAAACAAAAAAGAGAAAAACGAATCAGATGAGAAGATAGGCACGCCTGCCTCTCCTTCTGTTCGTAGTTCAAATTGGACGGCCGGCGACCTTTCTCTCTCTCTCTCTCCCCCTCGTTCTCTCCCTCTCTCCCTCTTTCTCTCTCTCCCTCTCTCAATGTCTGTCTCTCTGAATGTCTCCGTCTCCATGAGGTCTTCTCTTCTAAGCTATCGCGCTCTATGTGATGATGAAGGCGTCCATCTGTGGGGCACGTATCAACGAACGCATTCATCATTACACAACGCATGCATATATAAGAAAACAAACTGAATTGATTTTTTCTTGTTTTTCTTTCTTTTATCCTTTTTGTTCGCATTTGAGCTCTGATACTCTTGTGACAATATATGTGCCAGCGTTGATCACAATGTCTTGTGCTATATCCCAGCGTTAATCACAGGTATATTTACATCTCCCTCCCTCTCTGCCTAGGGTTTACCGGGGAGTTCTGTCTGACGTTATACACATATGTACTAGGTACAGTGATAATGACCGGGCGTTGTATTGGGGCGAAGACGGTAGGATGTGGTACTGTTCTACTTATCGAGTAGAAGACTATGCTGTGCTACGCTTTGTCATCCCAACCCTTCTTCCGCCGATCACAACGCCAGGTAATTACATGTGTACTCGGCCTGAAAGTTGCACTAAATACAGCAGAAATTATAACGACCCGCTGCTGTCGTCGGCGTAATAATGGTAAGCATAGTAGATCATAGGTGTCCGTAGATCGTATCAGTGACAACAATGTCCATAGATCGCATCTGTGTGATCCAATCTGTGTGACTATACCTGGGCGGAGATCCAATCTGTGCGACTATACATGGTCGCAGATCGTATGTGTGGCTATACATGGTCGTAGATCGTATCTGTGTGCCTAACTATACCTGGTCGTAGATCGTATCTGTGTGACTAACTATACGTGGTCGTAGATCGTATGTGTGACTAACTGTATCTGGTCGTAGATCGTATGTGTGATTAACTATACCTGGTCGTAGATCGTATCTGTGTGACTATACCTGGTCGTAGATCGTATGTGTGTGACTATACCTGGTCCTAGATCGTAGCTGTGGCTATACACGGGTTACATGGATGTGTCTTTAATGTCTATATATGTCCCAGATTGTGTCATATACGATTATGATATGATTATACGTGCGCTACACGCCTATTGTGTTTAATGTCTATAGATGTTCCAGATTGTCATATACGATTATGATGTGATTATACGTGCGCTACACGCCTATTGTGTTGAATGAGTACGATCGTCGGTTGGTATGTGACTATTCGCTACGTACTTAACTTATTTATGGGAAAAGAAGTGTGAAAACGGATCTGACAGAGAGCGAAATCGCCGATCAAACGCAAGGCGGGAAGATGCAAGCTGAAGCGGAAACAGAGCTAGATGACACGTTCATGAATTGGATGGCTCTCTGATATCTGATTAAGAGGTTTGATGGGTTTGGGGTTCTATTATATTAATTAATGGTGGTGCCGGATGCCTTGGAGGATGGTTTCAGATGGATGGGATGGATGTGGACGAGAAGGACGGACAGGTTAGGGATTTTGTTTGGTTCCAATGAATCGGACGGATTGGAGTCGAATCACTGTCTTTATGGTCCTGGATGGCGCGCTACCCCGTCGATAGGACATGCTGTCATTATAGCTGCCTTGAGGGCAATATTCAGTCCAGATGCATCGATAATGACCGTGCGTTCTATTCGCGGGAAGATGGTAGTGCAAGAATGGAGCATCTGCGGAGTCTTTAACATTACGGCTTCGAAAGCGTTTCCCCCGCTCTTCCTCGACCCAGCCCTCGTCCCCGC